CTCCTCTGCTCCCCTCAGAGCTCTGCTACAGTATTAAACTGGTTACTGAGCTTTGTCTCGCTCCCTAACTAGTGCTAAGCTGGTAGAGAAATCTGAGACAACTAAATAAATAATAAGCACTTCCCCTTCTAAGGGGCTTACCAGGACAAGGGGAGAGCCTAGATACTCCTTCAGTGCTTTGAATGCTTCCTTACATCAGGTGTCCCACTAAAATGCATTTTTCAAGACCTGAAAGAAAGGTTGACACTTGTCACTTGATTTGGATACAAAACGACTCAAGGCGGCTTCCTTCATGTCAAGCGTTGGATCTCCCTGATGTTGGATTGTGGTTGCACATCCAAAACTGCCTTAACCTTTTTTGGGTTAGCCTCTACTGCTCTGCTTTTGACTATGAATCCCAGAAACTTTCCTGTTTATACCCCAAAGGTGCACTTTGCAGGGTTGAGTTTTATCTTGTACTCCTTGAGAATTTGGAACAATTCTGCTAGGTGCTCGATGTGTAGCTCTGCCTGCAGTGATTTTACTAACATGTCGTCGATATAGACCTCCATGGATGTCTCAATTTGTTTCTAGAACATTCTATTCACTAGGCGCTGATAAGTGGCTCTAGCATTCTTCAATCCAAAAGACATGACTTGGTAGCAATAAGTTCCCTGTTCAGTCACAAATGATGTCTTCTCCTGGTCTGCTGGGTCCATCCTGATTTGATTATAACCTGAGAAAGGATCCATGAAACTGAGGAGCTCATGCCCAGCAGTGGCATCCACGATTAAGTCGATTCGAGGTAAGGGAAAGCTGTCCTTGGGGCACGCTCGATTGAGATCAGTGAAATCAATGCAGAGCTGCCATTTCCCATTGGTCATCTTGACCAACACCACATTCGCCAACTAGGTAGGGTAGTCCACCTCTCTGATGGCTTTGGCATGGAGGAGTTTATCGACCTCCTCGTTAATCGTCTTCTGGCATTCTGGAGCAAAACTTCTCCGTTTCTGTTTAACAGGTTTGCAAATGGGATTCACGTTTAGCTTATATGTGATGACTGAGGGGTCAATGTCTTACATGTCTTCTTGTTTCCAAGCGAACACCCCCATGTTCTTCCTCAGGAACTGGGTGAACAGGTCTTTCATTTCTCTGCTTAACTTAGATCGCATGTAAACAATATGTTCAGGCTCTTCCTCGAGCTGGACTGGCTCTAGCTCTTCTAACGGCATGGGCCTAGTGTCCAGTTCGTCCCTCATGTCAAGCTCATCTAACTGGATATTTTTAACTTCTTTCTGCTTCATCGAGGCCATGTAGCACTCCCTGGCTATTCGTTGGTCTCCTCGGACCATTCTAACTCCATTTTTCGTAGAAAATTTTACGACCAAGTGATATTCTGAGGGGATAGCCTTCATTGTGTTGAGGGATGGTCTCTCAAGTTACATATTGTATGCAGAAGGGACATCAACCACCAGGAATTTCACAGTGGTGGTGGCTTGGCAAAGAGGGTCCCCCATAGTGAGCACGAGTTGGATAGATCCTAGGGGCAACACTCTCTCCCCTGAGAATTCCATTATGTGAGCACTTATTGGCTCAAGCTTTTCCCTTCCTATGCCCATTTTGTCAAAGGCAAAGGCAAAAATAATGTCGATCGAACTCTCATTGTCAATTAGAACTCGATGAACTGTTTGGTTAGCCACAATGGCCCTTACCACCAACGGGTCATCATGGGGATGCTGGCAGCCTTCCAAGTCTAAATCGAAAAAGTGATGGTTGTGCTCAATTGAGGTATTTTGGACACGGTGTGCACTTTTAGCGCTTTGCCAGCTCTGATCCTGCGCAGGTGTGCTTTTCCTAGCTACACTAGATCCTCCAACGCCAGCAAATCCTCCAAATATCACTCTGATCTCCCCTTAAGGTTGTTGGTGCTGTGCAGGGGCTTGTTGTTGAGGTGCCGGTGGTGGTGGAGCCATGTTCTGGTTGTCATGGGCGACAAATCGTTGTAACTGCCCCCTCTAGATCAAAAACTCAATCTCTTTCTTTAGCTAAATGCAATCGTCAGTGTGATGATCATGATCCCTATAATACTCACAATACTTCGTAGGGTCTCTTTTAGCTGGATCTGCCTTCATTCGTGGAGGCCACCTTAGGAATTTCTCGTTCTACACCTCGTATAGGATCTGGGACACTGTTGCAATGAGAGGGGTATATTGTTGAGATGCATACCTCGACTGTAGTTCAGGCTGCGGGGGCCCTAAGTGGTCCCTAACGTTCCCCCTCTTTTTTGGGAATCGTTCTTTATCTTTTCTGGGAGATCTATCTCTCTTTGGAGATCTATTTCTTTCCCTCTCTCTCCTGGGACTTCAGTTCCTCTTTTTCTCTTCCTTTACCTTATCTATGTGAGGAAGAGCTCCCTACCTTAGAAAGAAGAGTTTTTTCGCTGTTTATATATTTCTCTGTTTTGACAAGCACCTCGGCCATGCTCGCTTAGAGATTTTTTTATATGAAGAACATCAAATCTTTAGATTACACCCTTAGACCAGCTATGAAGGTAGTGATGGTGAACTTTTCGTCTAGGACATCCACCTTTAACGACTCCAAATTAAATCTTTTGGACATAAGACCTGAGATTTTCTTGAGGTCCCTATTTCACATTCAAAAGGTGATAGCTCAGTTTTCTATAGGTCCGAGCCCCTATGAAATGGGATACGAAGGAAATCAAAAGTTCTTTGAAGGAAGAGATTGAGGCCGGTGGGAGCCTGTTAAACCACGCCAAGGTTGAACCCTTCAAAGTGATGGCAAAGGCTCAATAGCGTACGGGGTCTTGGTACCCGTACAACTCCATCTGGTTCTTATAAGTATTGAGGTGGTCCATGGGGTCCCTGGTTCCATCAAATGACTCTATCTGTGGCATCCTGAACTTTGGTGGGAGGAAAAAATGCAACACCCCAGGCGTGAATGGAGATTCAGTCTGCTGCACCATGGCGTCCATTGTAACTGGATATTTACTTCTAACTACTTCCTTCATGTGGCTAAGCTCCTGTTGGATGCCCTTGAAGTGTTGCTCCCAATATTATTCTCTTTTCTCTTGCTGATAAGGGAAGACATAATTCTTTTCACCTTCATGGTTTTGACTTTGTACTTCTTCATTGGGTCATTCCTAGGGGGTAGTTGGGGAACCTGCCCCAAGGTCTGACTATTCTCCCATCCTTCGTTGTCTTCTCTGAGTGGATTAAGGTGTTGTTGATCCCTGCGACGAGGACTGTTCTGACCTTCTTGGGCCGGACGTGCCTCTTGTGGGCGCTATAAGAGCTTCAAAAGCTCTTCATTTTGCTTAACAAGCGTTGATTGAAGAGGCGAAGGGCCTCCATCTCGTTATTCGTGGGGGAATTTCCCATGGGAGGATCAGTCTCTAGGACGTTCACAGGTTGTCTGCCATTGGTGGCTCCCTGTTGATCCTGCATTCGAGGTGGGTTTTTTTGACTTATGCTCATGTTTCGTATTGATACCATCAGTCACTCAGAGATCAGCTTATTTGTAACAGGAATAGTCGTTCCCATAGATGGCGCCAAACTGATGGTGCAAACTAACGTGGGTGAACAGATTGCGTGGGACCAAAGGTGAATCTAGGCTGTCAACTTCACAATGACAAAGATAAAGCGTTTCTTAGAGGGTAAGAAAATTTGTATAGTAGGAATATAGTGGTTCACCGGCTCTGGAGCTCGGCTAATCCACTCTCTAATAGAGGCTCTTGTTCCTTTTTTTCTCTATTGATTACTTGAATGTATTACCGTACAATGGATGATATAATTAGGATTTTTCTAGGGTCCCCTCTCTTTCGATGAGGCGTTACATAGTATTTATAAGCCTGCCCCTTATTTTGTGGGATTTCAGCCGAGATATTTGTCAATTATTCATGGGATCCTCCTTGATTTTAGGAGAGAATCTTGGTTAGTTAAGAGTTTCATGCATTGGGCTTCATTTTCTCAGTCATCCAGTTGTTTCCAGGTCGGTTCTGCTACGATCCCCCCAAGGTGTGCTCTACCCCTAGTTTTCTGAGTTCTCTGAGTCTTTCCTGACCTTATTTCCTGACCTCATAGCTAGGGCTTGTTTGAGTTATCATCAAAAAGTATATGGAACTTCTTCTTTGCAAATCCCTAATCGATGAGCATAGGGCTATGGTCGGATCCTATTCTAATCTCATGAAACACTTGCGCATTAGGGAATTTCTATCTCCATTATGTATTTACCAATACCTTGTTAATTCTTTCATGAACATTTGCATTACCTAGTCTATTGTTTGACTAGGTGAAACAAGGCCTTTGAAATCGAGTTCCATCATTTGACAATCTGAAATAAAATTCTATATTTCCTTTTCCTTCTTTGAGCTTTTGCCTTTTCCAACTTTATCCCAAATGAAGCCATTGACATTGAACTCACCTACAATCATCCATGGAATTATAGGATCCCCCCCCCCAAAGCTTTAAGACCATTTCATATCCTTTATCTTTGAGCGTAATCTAAGCCAGAATGGATGAAAAGTGGCTTGCCACACACTTGATGGATTTCTAGTGATGCAAAAAGTACTGATTATATTCTTGTTGGCAAAGTCAATTGCAAAGGTTATCTCATCTTTCCACCACAAAGCAAGACCTCATGAGAGACCAATGGGTTCAACATAAAGTTTATTTTGGTAACCAACACTTCTTCTCACCCTTTCAAATGTTTCATTTTTGTTTTTTTGTCTCCATTAGGAAAATTATTAGTGGGTGATGGGAGCTAACCATCCCTCTAAGTGTACGAACTGTTCGGGGTAACCCAACTCCTTGGAAGTTCCAAGAGAGTACTCACATGGACCTTGTGGTTGTTCGAGGCCAACCATCACCACCTTTTCTGAGTCAGGAAAACTTGCGTCTAGAAGAGAGCTTGGGACCTGGGAGGCCCATTGTGTCATACTGACATTCATATCATTCTCATCTTGATATTCTATGTCGTCTACCCCATGATTTTGCAAAATTGCCTCATTCCTTACTTCCACCTCTAAAAGCACACCCAAGTTTTCTTTCTGGTTTTGGGCTCTTTGCATTTGGTTTGGATTTCTTCTTTGTGATAGAGGTTGCCTTCTTTGAGAAGGTTTTCTGTTTACTATACTTTTGCCTTTGGAGTTTCCACTTGTTCGTAGGGTCTTGTAAATCATCAGTTTCTTTCAATTCCACTCTCAATGGTGCTTCACAGGATTTTAGTTTCTTTTGTTGGATCTCCAGATCTTCATAAACCTCAATCATCTATATGCCTTTTCTTTTGAGGTTCATCTTACCAAACTTCGCCATTAGCTGCTGCATATCTTGGTTTTGTCCCATTCTAGAATTATCAGCCTGGAGGTAGAGGTTCTGGATATCAAGGATGGGTTCAGGGTTGGTGGGCTATGGGTTTATAGGTTATTGGAGTCTAAATGTGGCATTGTTATTGGATCAAGGCATTTTGGTTGATTTGGGCCACCAAATCGTGAGACAAGTGGGTTGGGCTTTCAGGTGGTTCAATAACAAAGTAGTTGAGTTGATTAGGGTTTTCCTTTGGGTTGAAATTCATTAAAAATACCTGCGACTTAGGAATTGAGGTCCCTACTTCATCCTCCTTTGTCTTTTTGTGCCACTCCTTCTGTACAGCCAGATATATGACCCATTTCCTACTAATATCATCTCCACTATCTCTGTGCCCATCCCCTACTGATTTGTCGTTACTCAGGGATCCCTATTGTAGGACACATGTTGTTTGGGGGTTGGGGATTAGTGATTCTGACATTTGGTTTATGAGTGGTGCTTCCTTATCTCTAGCCTGATCGTTGCCCTATTCACTTGCTTCACCATCATGTAGATAACGCACCACCAGTGTAGATACATCTTCTCTGGCGGACTGTGAATATAGGGTTAATTGATTCCCTAATTTCATTGTCTGCTTCAAAGACCAGTTTTCCTTGAAGAAAGCCTTGGGTTGATTTGGTGAGGCTCGTGTGTCTGGACCGTAATTATTCTCCTATGATTTCTCTGTTTTCTCTTCTGGACACTAGGTAGAGCTATGCCCCAATCTTTCACAGTTGCAACAAAAATCAGAGTCACTTGTATTTAAAGCTAATTCAAAGATCATCCAAATTAACTGTCATCAAGAAGAAAACTCTCTTAATTGGGTAGTCTTCCCCAATACTCTTCCAATCCTCTAGGAATTGTTTTTGGTCATCATATCTAAGGGAAGTCCCCAATTTGCACCGAGAATTCCGCAAAGTTGAAAAGAAAATCACACACTATTGGTTGTGGTATGCACTTCCTTAAGACCAATAGAAACCCAATCACCGACCAGGGACCTTTATTTAGAATTTTATTCCCCTTCATCCTTAAACCTAAATAGATAGATTTTCTTCTCCCAATGGGTTATTGCAAACCCCAATTTGGTCTTCCATGCCCCTAATAATACATTGCGAACCCTCTATTTTTTTAGGGGTTGAGTCTGGAATGATTTTTCCCATCATAAGATACTGTTGTAGTTCCTTTGTGTTGGAAAGATTGATATATAGTGAGAGTCTCGGTTGAAACTTTTGGTATGAACTTGCTTCCTGCTCTTTTGGTGAGTATGAATGAGATAGAGGTTGTAATGGTATTGGTGATTGTTCAATCCGATAATTCGACGGATTTTATTTTCGTAGTTCACATCCGAATTCATTAATAATTCGAAATTCGATCCAAAATATGATCCGATCTGAATAACTTAATTTAACTAAATTTTGACAAATTACATCTAAATTTCATTTTAGTATTAGGTTTATCTCTACCAATTTGGTCTATTGGGTTTGATTTTTGGTCATATGGTCAATTGTTAGTTGCATGTTTCACATCAACACAATTTCTAGCTGTTGTCATTTGTTTTGTAATACTATTGATGAGAATTGGGTCGGCCTTTTTTAGATGAAAAATGTTACTTGGATCTAAAAATCTGACATAATTTGTTGATCTAATGACGTGACTTTATTAGAATCATTGGATAAACACCAAGTTCCAATATTTGATGGAGCTCACAATTAATCCAAATATCATAGTGAATTAGATCAGCAAATTAGGTGAATAAATTAAGTTCCAATAACATTGCTCTTTTTAGATAAGAGTTTGGACCACTTACATATAAATTATGTACATTAGTTTTTACCATTCAGAGTTTATGATTTTAGAATATGCTTTGTCGAAATTATTTTAGAAAGTAGTGGGACTTCGTTGATGGACGATTTTTCTCATTCTTTTTTTTTTTCGAAAATCGCATACCTCACGAATATGGTGAAGTTTGGCAACTGGTATCCAGTGGGTCCCTTCTTCTCGGCACTCGGGAAAAGCAATCTCTCAGCATCTCTGGTTTTTATGATTAAAAATAATATTTGTACCCATAATGTTACTAATTTTAAATACGAAATTAATGTTCGAGGTTCACTAGTAATTCCCTTCGTCAAGTATAACGTGACTCCGAGATAAATATATATAATGTGACTCTCTTATTTAATTATTCATATTTATTAAAGTTAGCAATTGACTTAATGTTTATGACCTTCGCCTATTAATGTTAAAGTCGTTAATTAAAACTTTGTCGTCGTTTTCATTGCATTTGTCAGAATCTATGGTATATATTTGAAAGAGCTTGACCTTATTGCTTCTCTCATGGTATAATTCTCTTTCCACCAATCTCCCTTTCTTCTCGGTCCCAAAGATAAAATGTAAGACTGATGCCAACAATTCATCATGGAGGAAAGTTCAACGATAATAATTTAGATTTCATGATGAGAAATATAAGGAGTACAACATTTTTGTACATAGACGAATCCAAAAAATCAATTATGGGTAGACACTCTACCAAGTTAATTTTTTTTTTTTCATATTGATGAAAATAATATGATATATTTATATTTATTTACATCATATTAGCTACCTAAAAATTCAGCAAACACAATAAGGTTAAAAATCGATATATACACTATAACAAACAAAAAAAAAATACTTATTATGACCTATAGCAAAAAAAAGTTAATTGCAACTGTTTTTAATTGATCACCATGAGTTTTTCATGCTTTGAAAGAAATTATTTCATTATCAACGCTATTGAAAATGTTTTTTTACATACTTATACAATGACACTAAATTTTGTACACTAACAAATTATCCCTAATTGTTTTGAAAACTAACAAATAGTTTCTACATATCAAAAATTTATCCGGATATGTCATTATATTTCTAAACCATGTCCCAAAGTTCCTAATTATTTAAGAATGGGTCTATAGTAATTGACGGTATAATGTATAAAAATCTATGGAAACAAAAGTTTGGAGGTGGGTATGGAAACACACGGAACACTTTAAAATATGAAAATCTCGGTATTCAATCATTAATTCAGATCAATTTCTACAGAATTAGAAATTTTTCGGACATTATGCTTATTTCCAAAGAAAATTTATTACCTTGATCAGTAATTGTTAAATTCCAGACAGTGAACAGAAAATGTCAAGAAATACTAAAGGTCTATTTGATTAGGAAGAAAAGAACGATGAAAAATAAAAATGATAGAAAGTGAAATGAAAAAAAATGTATTTTCATGTATGTATTTGGTAGCATGAAAAAATTACAAGAAAGTTTTAAACAAATTTCAGTCTATTATTTGAAAGAAAGAAAAGTTACAAAAAAAAAAATTCTAATTGTTTAAATGACCCTTAAGTATATTAAATCAATATAAAAAGGTCAAAAAAATTTATTATAATTAAAATTTTTAAAAAGGTGGCTCCTACCCTATTTATGAAATAAGCCCCAACACCAAGTTCTTTGAACTAAATTATATGGTTAGTTAAATTCATATTAAGATTTTTTTAAATTAATAACTAATAAAATATTTTAAGAAAAATAAGGGTAACATTGAAAGTTAATTAAACATCACAATTTTCTTACATTTTCTTGTGTTTTTTACAAGAAAAAAAAGTTGGTTAGTTGTGGGAAAATTTAAGTATGAAAAAAAATTTTTTTTCATCATTTTCGATTTCATACTAACAAAACACATAAAAATTTTATATTTTTTTTTATCATTATCTAACTAAACAAACGGAACCTACGAGGAACACAAGGGCTAACAATTGCTTGAATGAATTGTGACCATGAAACGAATTTGGCATAAGACAGTTCTTTTTCATACTGGCATGAGACACATGTGGTTGTTCCCACATTCCTGTCTTTCTCTATCCCTGTGTTCCAAAGGTGACAATTGGGACTCGGCTCGTAATTAACTTTTTGTGACCATTCTAAGTAGATCGTAAATTAAACAACCTTATCCACGATGGAAATTTTGGAACCGAAAAGGCGTATAGATTTAATTATTATATCCAGTAATTTTTTTTCCAATTGAATTTTTTTTTCCCATTCATAACTGATGGTGACATAATTGGACAGATTGATATTTGCATTTAAATTTGGTAATACATTTCTGTTTTATTTTATGATTTTGACTATTAAAAAATTGTATCTAATTATTATTGTAATGAATCGCAAACAAATACACCGAACACATGAAAACAACTTGAAAAAGAATTATAATATAACCAAAGAAGAGAGGGATAAATTGTCAATATTTTGACTTCAACAAAAATTAACCGTTCGTAGTTTAAAGGGTCGGAAGAATTGGCCATTACGAGATACACTATGGATATGTTTGGCTAAAGAAAAAATGATGAGAAGTGAAGGAGATAGAAAAAAAAAAGTGAAAGAAAATATATTTTCGTGTATTTGGTTACTATGAAAATTTTCTTAGAAAATATTAAAATAATTAAAAATCAGTGCTATTACTTTATATATATATATATATATATATATATATATATATATATATAATTTTTTTTTTTAATTTGTCGTATTCGGGTTGAACTCAAGTTCACGAGACTTTAACCTGAGTCCATCCCAAATTAAATTCGAGTTGAAATTTTTTAACTCAAGCCAACTTAAATATTAAAAATTCTTGCCTACGTCCTAATATTTTCAGGTTGTCCAACCTGAGTTAGAACCCTATTCTTGACACCTTCAATTTTTGAGAGGGTATTCATCTTAAAAACACTCATGTCACGATCTCGTAAAGATAGTGTCATAATTGCAAAACACGAATAAATGATGGCCTAACCGTAATCTACTGCATTAATATTAGTAATCTTCCAGGCACGTTGTATCCTGCTTCCTTCACCGCCTAGTCACTTTATCAGAGTTTGCAGACAATCGAGTCGTCGCTCATTCGGCTATTAATGGCCCGCTTCTAATCGTAACGCTTTCCACTTTTCTCTTTAATGTTTTTTCGACGTATCATATATTTATATCTATTAACGATGCACGTCTTTCACATAAATAAATTTAAATAGTATTATTTTATAAAAAAAATATAAATTATATGTATAATTAAATTAAATAATAATTAAGTGTCAAATAATTAATTCACCCTTTAATTATTGCTAAATTTAATTATTGATTTATTCTATAAATTTTTAAATACATAATTTGTCATTTATTTAGATCTCTTTAATACTTTTAAGTATTTGCACATATATTATATAATTATTAATTTTTATTTTGTTAAATAAATTAATTAGATTATTTATAATATTATTATAATAACAATTGCTCGTGTCTAAAGGCACTACAATACTCGTAAAAAATTATAAATATTTATTTATAAATAAAAACAATGTATAATTCAATTTCAATAATATAACGATCAACTTGATATTGTTCAGCTTTTATGCAAAACATATATAATCAAATCTTTATATGATGATAGTCACGCTATAGTTACTACAATATATTAATTCAAAAATATGAGAAAATATAATTATTATTAATCAAACATCCACAATTTAATATTTTTAATAAATTTTATCTCAAATTTCAAAAAATTATAATTATTTATTTTTCTGCAAGTTTCTACCTAAAGTTCATAATATTATCTCTGAAACATTTTTTTAATATGAGTTCGTGTAACTTTTGTGAGGAAAACATCCAAAAGTTTTACGCAAATTTTTGTAAATGTAAAAAATTTTGTTGAGAAATTAAGATCAACTTTTATTTGAGTTCAACTTAAATATTCATAAAATTCAATCGAATTTAAGTTTAAATAAGAATTTATACTTGATAATCAAATTCAACTCAATTCGAATCTTCATCGTAACTACATCAAACCGAAAATTGAATTTAAGTTCAACTCAATTAACACTTGTATCTTAAACTTTCAAACTAATTCTTATCTATTTTCATTCCCAGTCATGCCATAATTTTGTTTTAATTTAATTATTCTTTATTTATTTTTACAATCAATTTCAATTTAACTACAACTTGAATACTCATAAAATTTAAACAAAGTTAAGTATAAGGAATAATATATACTTTATACTCGACAATTAAATTCAACTCAATTCGAATCCTAATCATAATCACTTTGAACCAATAATTGAGTAAAATAAAAGGATTCTTGTAATTTTTGGGTAGAAAAAAAATTTGGAGGCGGTATTTCGATCGTTTGATCAATCAATTTGTGTCAGGGAAAGTTTAAGACAAACAATGTTAGCTCCCTTAGTATATAAATATTCACAAATTACATATATATTATTCGTCTATTATACTATTTGAATATTATAGTATTTTTATTAGTCATTCAACGTATTTTGACGCAAAAAAATTTGTATTTAAGGTTCATTTATTTATTTGAAATTTTAAAATATAATCCTTAATTATATAGAATCATAATTAATGACTTAATTAATGTATTGTAAGAGATAAAGAGAGAGTTATAAGAGAGATATGAGTCTTAGAATTATAAAAGTAATAAAAGTCTTGTTAAAAAAATTGGGGGAGAAGGAATTTCACATTAGAACTGTCGGATCAATAATCACTTCAAATAATGTGAGCCATGAAAAACTCAAGACAATCAATTTAATTATTTTATTATATAAATTATTACGTATCAAAAAATAAAATATAATATATATTGGACCGTAGAATTTAATTTGATAACTATATGTGTATAATAATTGAACATATATAGAATTTTACTTTTTTATATAGATATAGACAATTATAAGCCGTTGTACTACTAATAAATGAATTCAAAAAAATTTAAAAGTCCTTATAAAAGAGTCCAAAATAAGTTAAAAGTCAAATAGGTGTAAAAAAACATAAATTAGATAGAATAATATATAGGTGGGGTATAATTGACTTTATTATAATAATTAGGGATAAAATAAGAAATCAAATTTTTTTCATAGATACTAACATTTATAAGTAGTATAGTATAAATATAGATATCTATATTTATCTATATCTATTTATACTATTTATAATTGTTAGTACTTGTGAAATATTTTAAAATTTTATTTTATTCTTAATTGTTATTAAAAAGTTAATTATACTCACATATTTATTTTCATTCAATTTTTAGTGTTTTCTCCAGCTATTAGACTTTTTTACTTATAATATCGATTTTTAAATTCTTTTAAACTCATTTCTTAGTAGTATAATTATAAACAATTTCTATCTATATCTATTTATATAAAATAAAATAAAATCTAATCTAATCTATATTCTATTATTATATACATGTTGTTGGTAAATTGAATTTTATTATCAAATATATGTCGCATTAATTTTTTTTTATGTGCAACAATATCATAATATTATGATACAAACAATATTTTGCAATTTTATTAATCTCTTTGACAATAAAAGATAATAGTTTATTTAGATGTACACATACTTAAAAATGACAGTTTTATAATAAAATTTCATTATAATTTTTACGTGCAGCGCATATCATGCATTGTTAATTATTAATAAGTGAGAGATCCACTTATATATAATGTATTCCATTAGAATGCATGATAGACAATCTATTAAAAAAATTAAAAAATATGTATTAAATGACATTTTACTCACTACTCCATTAACACAATTGAGTCCAAAAAAAAACAATGGAATAATATCTCTTAATTATGATTAGGTTTGGTGGTTATTAAAGCTTATTTATTGCTGCATAATTAATTGAGATTATCAACTTAGATTCACCAAAAGAAAATCACTCTACAATATTAGAAAAATATATTTTGCATGTATTCAACGATCACCAAAATAAAAAATTAAAATAAACAATTTTTTTTGGAAAATACACAAATATACATAGAAACATACATGAGAATTGCAAGTCATAATACACCACGTCTTTCAAGTTGCAAGAGATTTCAAAAGAAATCGCTTAGTTTGATATTGAAATTTTTTGTCCATAATTCTCTAAATGCAGTATTGCTTTTTTTTTTTTTTTTTAAAAAAAACAAGTGAAAAACCTAAATCTTGAATCAATCTTTAATTTAAAGACCATGTTACACTACAACATAACATGATATACTATCAGTCCAATGGTACAATATAAAATAACGGTAGATAGAACGTACAAACAAGTGTCATGTTATGAGTTGTCTAAATTTATAACAAAAATATTATTTTACAAATTTAAAATTTTAAACGATATCAAAATTTAGAGGTGCCGAGTTCAAATTAAACTACCATTTCCTCACCTTACATGAGAGTCTTACAATGTATCACTATTTTGTAATAAATTGGTTTTATTTTTATACAGTAATTCCTAAAAAGTGATAAAAACAAGTCTTAAAAAAATAACTATATTTGTGTATAGTTCTACTTTAATTCCTCCTTCAAACGCCCCCCCCCCCCACTCTCTCTCGAATAAATGCTGACATGGTGTAACCATTTAATAAAAAAAAATAAAAAGAGTAAAGTAAGGTCCATTTCTTATCATATGGGTGATTATTTGTGATAGGATTGAATGATCATGAATTTTGTTGGGCCCCATTTGCTAATTTATTTATTTATTTATTAGTGAATCGCTGACATAGTGTAACAATTAAACCCAAAATTTTTTGCCTCTCTCTCAATGTGTAACCTAGATGAGGTGAATTCTAAAATCTTGAAGTTTTTGTTTCAATTTTAAATTTCTAAAAAGGTTTTTTTATTTTATATAATTAAGCAGTGAAATACACCCATAAAAGTTGGCTGAAATAATGCAAAAAAACTTGATAAAGTTGATGAGTACCAACTGCCAAGGAGTCAACAAAATCTCCAAAATACTCTCCCTATTCACACCCGGGTATTGTAAACCGCTTTGAAGTTGAACGTTCTGCGAACGCGGTCTCTTTGTGCGGATCGCCGGCCCTTGTTTTTCAAGCTAACCCAAAAACAAATAAAAAATTCGTCCTTTTTTGCAGCACCTTGTATTCTAGAGAGAGAAACAAAAAAAGGGGGAGAATATCTATCAGCCTAACATATTCACTGTTGGCACATATCTTTCTCTGGACTTCTCTTTGATCTTCCGGAAATACTTTGGATTGGATTCCTACCTCAATCAGGATAAAACCTCAGCTACTGTATTTTTTTGTTTCCTAAATATTTTCCCCGCTATAGCACATTGATCGACTAGAAATGTTTATTGATTTTCCCGGAAAATTATGGTTCTAAAGAAAATTCAAACTTTTCACGTTTGATTTCTGGTGACCTGCTACGATCTTATTGATCTTTATCTTTTCTTTGTGACGTAGTTTATTTGTTCATCCGATATCAAAACTACCCATCAATTTTTATGGGTCAAAACTGATTGAAATCCAATGCTTTTGGCCTTTTTCTTGGTTGTTTCCTATCAGAATTGTGTCGGAACCATATTTTGATTTCTGCGTATCATTCAAATCCCATTAACATTGAGTTCTGACTTCTGCGTATTGAGTAGGGTTAAATTTCAGATCTCGGTTCCTGTTATAATCCGATTTACCGGAGGATTCAATCTAAAGTTGTGGAAATGAGTTTTGTAACTCTTGATAAGTGGAGGGACTATTTCCGGACTGCGAATTCGGATATATTTGATATAATTGAACATGCTATTATGGTGGCAGTCTCAGATTGTCCCCAGGAGTTCAGATTGAGAAGAGATCGAATTGCTGAGAAGTTGTTTGCTTGTAAATTGACCAAGTGTTCAGGGTGCGATCGGGTGGAGTTGGCAGAGCCTTGTGATGATAAGGATGAGGGATGTAAGAGTGGGTTGAATAGAGATGGGTGTGAATTTGAGGCTGGTCGTAATAAGGAGAGCAAGGTGGATAGTACTATATATGATCATGATCAGGATCATGGAGAAATGAATATGAACCAAGTTAGCAATTACAGCTTTGGAGAAGCAGAGGCATTGACTGACCAGATTGAAGAAGAAAGTCAGATTGTTGGGGAGGTCTTGAGGATCAAAGAGATATTTGATAACAATCAAGATGAGGTTTGCTCCATCTCTACTGCTAATTTTTCTTTCAGTTTCACCTAGTATAGTGATTTGGGTTTATTAAGATGAATTTTGCAGTTCTGATTCTTCTTTTTGTGGATCAAGTTAGCTGATTGCGTAGTTTACTGGATTTTTGAAATGGGTTTTGAAGATTTTGAAGGTTTTTTGCTAATAAAATGAAGTATGGTCTATTGTTTCTACATATCATCTCTGATTGCAACTAGCACATTGGGCTGTCAGCAAAATAGTTTGGAATCCTTGGGACCTTTATTAGTTATTCAATTAATTCATTCTCCAGTAATATTGATCACTTAGGATAGTTTTTGAAGATGTTGAGTTATAATTGGTTTTTAGTGGAAGAACTTGGTTGTTCTTTGACCTGTTTGTTAATAGAAATCCATTTATTTTTTGAGTTTCCTGGTATTGACTGATGTGTTTTTATTTTTTTGCCTGACAGTCTGATCAAATCTTATTTGATTCACTGAGGAGGCTTCAACTGATGGCTCTGTCTGTTGAAACTCTAAAGGTTTGAATAGAATAATTTTCGAGTCACTAGAATTTGCGTGCTCTGTTTTGGTTGTAAATGCTACTTCTTTGATCTGTTCCAAGTCTTTTGTTAATTCTATTCTTCATACTTCAGGCTACGGAGATTGGCAAAGCTGTTAATGTTCTCCAAAAGCATGGATCAAAGCAGATTAGGCATCTTGCACGAACACTGATTGAGTATGCAATTTTGCTTCTTGGCTAATTAGGTTCCTTTGTTCTTCTTCTGGTCATTTGATACAAGTAGAAAATGTGAGATGACTGCATATAAACATTTACTAAACACCAATCATAAATTTTTATGACGTTAGTGACAAAGAATTTTGGCCTGTCCGCATCATTCCCATTTTAGTTTCTGACGATGAATCTCTTTTTCTGAATTTGTCCGATGATTTTAGTGACATAATTTGGCATTTCTCAAGTTTGCTATGAGAGTGGGTCATGACCTCTAATGAATTTCAGATTAATCAGATGGAATGCGTAGAAATAAGAGAAAGCAATTTTCGTAGCCATTTTTGGACTACAATCCTTTTGGTTTTTCTGCTTTTTAGTGGGAGTGTTTGATAATGGACAGCGTTCATCTCCTTATTCAGAAAGCCGTTGTTTATTTTATTCTTATTTTTTATTGCACTGATTTTAAAGCAGAAAAGCTTACTCTTACCAAATGGTATTGTTGTTGATTGCAGGGGGTGGAAAGTTATGGTAGATGAGTGGTTGGATGCTACAGCAGCAGTTGCAGGTATTGAGTCAGGATTCTTTTTTGTACTGGATTTGGTTTTTCTATTCGATGTTTGTTTTCTCAATTCCAACTTAGATCAAAGATGATGTGGTACTCATCAACTAATACGTGCAGAAGGAACACCAGAGTCTCTGAACCCGTCAACTGTTGATGAAGAGGAGGGGCTACCTTTTCCTCCACTGGATGAAGCAGTCTTTTTTGCTACTCAGACTACTTCAATAGAGCTCTCTCAGGTATGTCTCACTCTTCCTTTATATTAATAAAAGCAATTCACGTTCCTTTTTTTGTGCTTGTACACTGACTAAGTTTCGCTTATTTGTGTCCTCAATTGTGATGTGCGAAGTTCTTTGATGGCATGGATGATGATGGAAGTGAGTCGATATGTGTTCCTTGTGCTTTTCTCATATAGCTTTTGCTATTTGGTTCTTTAGTCGAATTCCCCATTTTTAGTTCATGACTGATTGGGGGATGTTGTTTCAGATCCTCGAAACAGTGGGGAATTCAACAAGAACCACGAATATGGTAGAAAGCCATCACGAGAGAACCAAAATATTGCCAAGCATAATCCACAGTTCTCCCATGAGGTTCCTCCCAAGGACAAGAAGTGTGAGCAGGATAAGAAGAGTGCACAAATAAAGAAACAAGAAGCTGTGATGAAGAATCAAGCAACTGTTATGAAACCAAATAAGTCTGCCAGTGCTGCATCCAGGCCAGGTAGACCTACAAAACTGAGTGTGGAAGAAAGGTTTAATGACGAGACCAAATTACTTAAAAAATCAGACCAAGTCACAATCCCGAAGAGGATGTCGGATTCTCAACAGGATGTGAGTATTCTGGATGCTGATGTGTGGTGGCTTATTGCTTGAAGCTTTTTGTTTACTTATTAGATGGTGGTTATTTTTTTTTCTTAACTAGAAATCAAGGTGTTCAGATGAGCGCGATGTAAAGCTTGAAGCTGCGAAAAGGAAGCTCCATCAGAGCTACCAACAAGTTGCGAATGGTTTGTCTACTTACCTTTTACTCGTTTAAGTTTTTTTGGTTTTTATTTGATACTACTACATGGACAATGGTGAATTTGCAACAAAACCCACTTTTAATGCTTATTTAAACAAAGCCTGAAAATTGGAAAGGGTTATGATTCCAGGAAATTTATCTCCGTCAGTAATTTTTTAGCTTAATATGACTAGTTTTGAGTTTCATTGATAGTAATCGTAATTCTTCTTAACAGCCAAGAGGCAACGAACAATTCAGGTTATGGAGTTGCATGATCTCCCCAAGCAGGGCCTTGGCCCTAATCCACAGATGAAACCTGGCAATCATAACAAGCATTGGGCAGTTGGACGTCGGTAGCTTCTCTACTCTTGCATACTTGGTTTCAGTAACCTTTGAGGTTTCTTCCATTTTGCAAGTAAAGGTAGTGGAAGAACACTATAACACTTCGGCGTACCCTGGCTTGACCCTTCTGTTGATCTCTCTGCAGAGTGCTACTCTGAAAGTGGGAGTAGCATGCTTTCAGAAATCTTTTTGAATTTAGAGTTCATAGAGGTATATAATTTTTACTAAAACCGGGAGCCGGGATAGCTTATGCAGCTTGAATTCTCGCTCGTTGTAAATGACCCTATTTTGTATTCGCCCATTCTCAAACATTTCCCCCCGGTCAGTTTAATATTTATAGATTGGTTAACATGTATAATTTGCACATAAACTAGTGCATTTTCATGATATGATACTCTTGTAAAACAGTTTAACATGAATGGAATGGAATACAAAATCCTTTTGCAGAAATCTTGAACTCAGCCTATTGAGACTGTATGATAGTTTTTGTTTGAGTCGAACTGATATGTTATGGGTTTTAAAGACATCGTGATCTGAAATCCTTTACTTCGATATAGAATTTTTATGTGGTGATTTTCACAATTTCAAGGAATTTGTCCTCTCAAATTTATGTCACTTTCCAAAATATCCTCCCAAAGATCTGTTTGAGTTGAAAGAATTCGCTCTCCAAACCCGAATCTTGTATCTGTCCCGGACAGTAAGTTTCGAGTTTGGAGTATCCGCATATTTATACAAAGTCACAATGCTGCATTGCATTCTTGTCTAAGTTTATTTGTCACATAATTTATTTATCAAATGCTAGATACAGATCATAAGGAAATGCTTCAAAATGACAATTATAAAGTTAGCTGTCTCTTTTTCTTTCCCACCAAAAACAGGAAGGTTTTGTTTTTGGTAAGTAAAAATAAAAAACAGAGAGGTTAGTTGTCACTATTTATGACGGATTTAGACATATTAGTGTCAATAGGAGCAATTGTCCACTATTGACGGATGTAAAACGTGTTTCAGAGCTGTTTTTGGTGTGTTACAGTGCGTGTTAATCTTGTGATAATCAAACGTTTGTGGGTCAATTCATCTTATCCAAATACCAACCAAATAGTAGCTGACTACCAAAATAGGGTCCACCACACGCATTGTTGTGAACCATCTAAAGTCCTAGGTGTGGACCAGACCCACGCGGTTGGATGACCACTTACCACATGCACATGTAAATATTCCTCCCCAGTTTTTATACAATGTCGTCTTTCTTTCTTGTCCGTTGATGTTTGGTCCTCCTCTGCCGCTACCTCTTGACTCTTCATCTTGTACTTGCTTTTCAAAGTGCAAAGGGCCAAGTTTTTTACTAATTCCTTCACAACCAAAAGTCTTGGACATGAAACTCACACCTGAAAGTTGGTAAGCAAAAGACAAGAGCATTTACAGACTAAAAAAAAAAAAAAGACAAAGGCATTTGTGCTTCACGACACAGCCAAAATTACTACCTAGTTGGCCCTTCTAACCAAACCATTGGTTTCAGGATTATCAAAAAAACTTCTGTCAATTAGCTCCTCTTCCTACTGTCCCCATGAGGTAGCAGTACCGTCAGTATTAGGGGATTCATTAACTGAAGAAAATTTTTCAATAACGATTACTATGTCGTTAAACTTAACCTCCCTTGACTTGTAAATAATCTATGCTAAAATTCCTACAAATCCTTCCAAATTCCTTATAAACTGAATTTTCTATCATAGTCTAACAGATTAGGAGTTATTAATAGTTGAATTTGCATTGATGATAAGTGTACATTGTTTAAACGTACGGCACGAATTTGAGCCTCAAAATTAATCTTTTCAAATGACAATACACTTTTTTTTTATTTGATGTCAAGAGTAAAGTTGTCCACCATATTTTCTAAACTACAATTTTAATTATCGAAGTGACTGAACTGAATGTGTTACGTGAGTAGTCCAAAAGGAATAAGGAATCCTCCCCCCCAAATCCCCAACCTACAAACACACAAAGAAAGTTTTTTTTTTTTTTTAAAAAAAAGAGAATTACACTCAAACTCTTTGAAATTTATTACTTAATCACTCAGACCCCTGATATTTACACATAATAGAACATGAATTGATATAATAGAATACTAATTATGATTTTTTAGGAAAAATTTGGTTTTTTATTTTTGATTTTATTTTAATAAATGACATAATAGAATATGAATTTTAGTTTTCAAATTTAAAATATTTGATAGTTTATCTTTGATTGAAGTATTTTTTTATCTAAGTATAATATTTTAAATTTGAGACGTCTAAGTATTATATGTTTATAAATTTCAGGGAGTCTGAATATAATTTATTAATGAATATATTAATGGACATTTGACGACAGAGGTTTAAGTGTTACTCGTTTACAAACTTCAAAAGATCTCTGTGTAATATTTTAAATGTTAGAAATCTAAATGATTAAGTGACAAATCTTAGAGATCAAAATATAAAAAAAAAAAGGAAAACAAGAAAAAAAAAAAGGAAGGGGAAAAATAACTTTTGACTTGGACCAATTTGACATATCCCATTGTCCCTCTGCTTTTTCCGAAGCAATTTGTTGAAGTCTTGGTAGAGACTTTTAACCCTTTCAAAGTTTCTTTATTTACACAAAACCCCATTTTCTGAAAAAAACATAAATATCAATCCATTTACCTATAACTAAAGTTACATGGACAGAAATTTCATACCTATTTCTTTTTAAATATTATAATATAACTCCCTAATATATACGTTATTAAAAAAAGAAATTACAACTAATGTTAAAGATATTTATAAAAGAGGAAAGACTTACAGAAATTTATCACTTTTTATGTCAAGTTAATTATATTTTTTTGAGGTAGAAATCACCATTTCTAATGTAAATTATTATTTTTTGAGGTGAAGCTATAATTAATTAGGGGGCATTCATGACCGATCATAGAGTTATCTCAAATAGTTAAAATTTTATCTTTTAAAAATGTAATTTTATGTAAAAAAATAATAATTTTTAGTACAATATTAAATTTTTATTATTATGAAAACATCATTGTTACATCATATCCTATCAAAAATCTTGTTAAAAATTATTTTTGCAAAGTATTCTCGTTTACTTATGCTTTGGGCCGGTGCATGTATCTTGCATCTCTCTCTCTCTCTCTCTCTCTTAAATATTGTTTGAACATTGAATAGTGACAAATTAAATTTTGTGGGTCCTTTCTAGATGACACAACACACATGGAATTGATCCACTTTCTGGAGTTGGGTAGCCCCTTTGGACTTGTCCGGCTCATGCCTCATCGACAAATACAATTTCAATGCATGGGGGCATTCAGTTAATACTCCGGAGATAACACTGTGGGTGAATTAGTGGAGTATCGATCGAATTTCTCAGGTTAGAGTATTGAATTTTGTAATTTATATTGAGATTCGGTGATTGACCGCTATGCTAGCCTAATTAGGTTCGTTCACCAAACGAATAACGAGCGTGATTAAGGACCTCATAATCTTACAATGAATGTCTATCGGAATGGTCTCTGTACACTCTCATTTGCTCTCACCCGTTTATAATAAGCAAAAAAATAATATTATGATTGGGAAGGATAACAAATAACAATGGGTTACAAAATATCACTGCAGACTGAAGATGGGCTTATTAATGCGTCATAATATCACGCTATTAATTTTGCAGGATAGAAAAAGGAGGTAGGCTCAGGTAAATTACAAAGGCACCCTTCGAAATTAAAACTTATTCTCTCACCCCACTGAACATTCAATAAATTACAAGTATGAATGAAAACAGTTTATTCCCTTGGTCGAAAATGGACAATTTGGTCAGATTAGTTGAAAAGATATGACAACTTGGGGTTGATCGGCAAGAGCCGGCTCGAGATGATTGGAGGCTTAAAGCGACATATCTAAGTGAAGTCTTTTATAATTTTTTTAAGTGATTTTTTTTCACTTTTCAAAGACAACATTATTAATTAAATATTATATTAAATTAATAATAACATATTATTTTTAGTTAATGGTATGATTAATTTACTTAAATCTTTCTTATAACAACACAATCAATTTGAGGCAAGATTTTATCAATTTTAATCTCTGAAAACATTTTTTGTTTATAGAAGTAACTGTTAACGGTAAAGTAAATAATACATTGCAAGTAAAACATTAACTTAAAAAAAGAATATAACTTTAAGTTGGTGATTGTCTTCGTGCTTGAAATAGACAGAAAGTAATGAGTTGGCAATTGTTTCTAGTTTTATTAGTTTACAAGTTAAAAACTTATGTCGTGATACTAAATGATGTAATTGTTTAATTTATATAAACAACTAAATGATAAAGTAAGTTAGTGTTATAATTTCATGTAATTGTTTAGTGTAATTTTTTGGTTTATTAGAACACATAAATAATTGTTTAGTATAGTAGAGGGCAATCCTAACTAATTAGTGTCACTGATTGATATAATTGTGGTGTTGTAATGTTGATATAAGGAGAGAGAGAGAAAATAAGGGAGAAAGAGAAAAAAATCAAATCAAATTTTTACATATTTGAAAATAAAATAAATTATCACGGAGTGGGAGAAAGAGAGAGAGAGAGAAACAAAGAGATAGACTAGGAGATAGATAGAGAGAAATAGAGAGAAAATAGGAAAGAGAGAGGGAGAGAGAGTAATGTAGTAGTGAATGACTTATTTAGTCTTTTTTCAAAAAAAAAAATTTAGGGTTAAATAAGTTTTCTTAATATAGTTTAGTTCAATTAAGTTCAAATTTTTGTACCGACTTCCCTATTTTTTTTCCTTAAACACAAATTTTTATAATGCTATTTTTAGAGCTTTTTTTGGAGGCCGGTATGCAAATCCAATAGGATTCTAAAAAAAAATCCGCTCACCAATTTACTTTGAATTAGGTCCTCTTTAAAAATTCAAAACAATGGATGTAACTAACATCATTTAGAATTGCAAAAAAACAAAAAACGACAATTTCATCACTTAATTGAGGCATGTTCTTCTCCATAAACACAAAATGTACCTTCTTATCCATAAACGACAATAACTTTAGATTTGTGTCATTATAATGTACATTCTTCTCTATAAACATAAATAGCTAGACTGACACACTAAAAAAAGATGGTATGTTCTTGATTACCGTATCCATTAACTAGTGGTTCACAGGTAAATTAAAATATATTTACTAATAGCGGCCGAATTCAGTATATCTTTAGAGCATATATATTGAGATGAGACGTCTGAACAAACGTCTATTCGATTAACTATGCAATTAAAACCGTCTTAAAATGATTACACACACATAAAAATGCATTAACAAACACAACATGTACGCAATTAATATATATGTACTTTAATAAGTACATATCATATCATATATGACGAACAACATACATTATCATTCAAGTACATTATACGAATATATACATCCATTAGATATATATATATATTAAC